CTTGATGTGTTAAACAAAAAAAATACTAATTATTAACCATCATTTATAGATTTGTAAGTTTTGTACGGATCATCTTTGGGCAGGGGTCATCCTAATTTAGTAACTTTTATCTTTTATCATTCCAATTTTATCGATTGTCTTCCTTTGGAACAACTCTGTTCATGGGATTGGGATATAAGAAAATAAGTTTTTAATTTTATGGTTTAGATAATAAAATGAAAAATATTGGATGTGAAACATCTATCGTTTATCTGATAATTTATGTTATATAAATTAATACATTATTTTCTAAAATTTTATCGCATAAATTTTCATGCAAAAAGTAAAGTGTGAGGTAATGGTATTAATAATAATAAAAAAATGCGACAGTGCTGTCAGGAATTGTAAAGTAGTTAATTATAGCTCAAAAACTCTTCTATTTGAACTTTAAAAATTGATATTTTTTATAATTAATATATTTTAAAATTTTTATCAAATTATATCTAAAATTTAATATTCATACAAAAATTTAAAAATAAAAATCCTTATTTACACATTAAATTATACTTGACCTAGTTGTCAATTTTAAAAGTTTTACAAAATTTAAATTATAAAAAATATTAATTAAAATAAAATTTTTAGGATGCTAACTTTAAAAACAATGACATCCATAGTGTAAATAAAAGATTTTTCCTAATTATTAGTGGGGAATAGAGTCCCAATATCATATGTTCACTTTTTTTTGTGGATGGTGGTATTATATAGATAATTTTTTTATTTTATTTTTTTATATAATTTTTATATGTTATTAAATGAGTGGTTGTATTTAATATCATAAATTAAAAAAATTAATTATTTTAATAACACATCAAAATATATAAAAAAATAAAATAAAAAATTATACAAAAAGCCTTTCCCTTTTCTCAATAGGACTGCCTTTCATTTTTTTTTTTTCTTTTTTGCGTTGAAAAAAAAAATTGGCCATCATTGCTACATAATCAAAAGGATCGCCGTCCCTCCCACCTTTGTGATGACGATGTTTCGAGAGCCAGTCACTTTCCCCTTTCCCTCTCAAAATTAAATTTTCTCTGGAGGTTTAAACCAAATCATTTGTATTTGAATGTCTGTCTCCATGATTGCCTTCACGCACATCTTCATGCAATAACCCAAATACAGAAAAAGAACAAATTATCATAATAAACCCATGAGTAGGGGCAGCCACGGAGCTTGAGTAAAATGTTTGGGGAACCAAAAATTCTTTTTTGAATAACTTGCAAATATAAAAATATAATATATCTGCAATTGGACCTTCGGGTCCAGTGACGTCAGATCATGTATAAGTGCATTCTGCCACCCCAAGTAATGGTTTGAATCCAATTATTTGCAAATTCATTCAAAAAATATATATATAATATATCTAACATAATTTGACTAAATAATTATTATTTTACTAAAATTTATTATAAGTTAAAATAAAAGAAAACAAATTATTGTATGTAACGTATATTTAAGTATAAAATAATGTAAATTATACCATATGTATACATTTTATATAATAAAGTCTTTAACTATTCTTATTATAAGAAACTCAAAATTTACCATCATAATATTTCTCCTTTTCCTTTCTTCCATTTCTTATTTTTTCTTGTCATCTTTCTAGAATTTGGCGTATGATTTATTAATTTTAGAGAGATTTTATTGTCATTTTGCTCAAAATTTGAATTTACAATTGATTGGTTTATTACCTTGAGCATTTATCCTAAACGTAGTTACTCTTTTTGGATTTTTTTTTTTTTGAAGTAAACAAAGAAAAGAACTAACCATTCTTTGAAAGAAAAAACTTTGAACTTTGAACTTTTATGTTGATTTATGTTTAACTCATAAGGTAATTTATGTAACTTTTGAATTTTCAATTTATATTATTGTATATTATGTAAATTTAGCTTTAGTTACATATAAAATGAAATTATTAGTTAATTAAAATTTTAGTTATTAAAATTTAAGATTAATAATTTAATTGGAAAAAGCAGTTTTTATTGGTTTTGATTATCTTTTTAAAATAACTATTTAGATTAGATTTGAATTTAATCAAAAAAATTATTTTAAAAATTTAAAATTTTAATTATTAAAAAATAAAAATTACTCTAGTAAACAAATAATTTGATAGAAAGTACTGAGAAAACCTAAAAATAAATATATAAATTATAAAAAAAATTTATATAAAAAGTTTTTTTACCAGATTTTTTTATTATACTTACTATAGTTATCAATTTTTTCATTTTCAAACTCGGCAAGCAAAATTTAAATTGTTTGAGATGGGTCTGGTTCAATTTTTAGTTAAAAAACCTAAAACCCAATCAAACTCAATCCATTAGTTATATTTTAGTCAATTTAAAATTTTTTTCCACCAACTCCTACCCACTATCCATCCATATATAACAAAAAAATGAGAGACGAAAATCTTATGATCCTTTGCTATACATGAGTCCCCGCCACTAAGAGAGATAGAATAAAAGGAAAGGTTTGAAACTAAAATTTTTAAATTAGTAGGATATTACATTGGGTTGTCCCAAACATGACCAAAAAGATATTATAATCTGTGCGAGAATCTCAAATTTTTTCTAGCATTTGATGTCCAATGATGAAATCCCAAACATAAGATTAGTGGAACTTAGTGTGGGCTTCTATTGAATTTCATTTATAAAGTTATTGAAATTTTTTTTTTTTTTAACAAGTTATCAAAGGACGGGCTCGAAACTCACTCATGAAAGAGGGAAAATGCATATCAAGCTGACAAGCTGTCAGTTGACCTGAATGACCATGTGCAGTTGTTAAAATTGTTTAAACATTTTTAATGACAAGAAATTTATTTTGATTTTCAGAGCTCTAAATCTAAATTAGGTTTCAGATTTTATTATGCATAAAAAAAAAAAAAAAAAACTATAGAAGATCAAGATACATGTTTTACCCTAGATATAATTAAGTGTAAAACAGAATAGGTTTTCCACAAAAAAGCTTGAATTTTGAGGGCCATAAGCTCATCATTACTGGAATATTTCAAGTTTATTACAGTGAGACCCACATCCCTCTTTTTGTCTGGAGGCAGGTGAGGCGTTGACTGCTCAGCCATTTCTTTCAATAACAATCAAAACCGAATTTCTGTTCTTTTTTCCATTTTCCTTCAAGAAAAAAAACTTGTCCATGCACTTCCAAAAGCCTGGAAATTGTAAAAAGAAAATTTTAATAAATCCCTTACATTCCCCCTTTTAATCTTCAAAATTCTTCCCAGAATCTTAACAACATGGTATGTCCCAAAAAAAGTGTTAAAATTTTAAAAAATATATATAGAGATTCTTCTTCTTCTTTTATTTTTTAATTTCAAATAATTGAAGAGAAAGGGGATTAAATCATTAATTGATAGAAACACAATAAAAGTACAATTTATAAAGTTGCGTGATCAAAAAGTACTGAATATAATTTTGAAACAAAAAATATTTAAAATGTAAAATTTAGAGATAAAAACTTACAATTAGCCTTTTATCATTGATAAGTAACAAACATTATTCTCAAGGAGAATGGATACTAAAATATTTTTGATGGAGGATGTTAGGGATATTTTATTTGAAATTAATAAAATCTTCTCGTTTTTTCTTTCTATTCCCCCATTTTCCTTATTTTTCTCCGAAGAAAATGAACATTGTTTTGAAAAAAAAAAAAAAAACACCGAAAGAAGATTGTGGTTAATAAAAGTCTCAACCTCGTTTTAAAGATCTTTGACAAAGCAAAACAATGCTGGTGACAAATTAATGTACGAAACGAGTTAAAGTCAGAATGTGAGAAAATTAAGACCCTTAAAAACAAGACAAGAAAAGTATCTTTGATTTCATGAATGGAAAAATAACCATGTTAAGAAGTACTAGTGGTACATTTTTTTTTTAATAAAATAACAATGGTGGAATTCAAATTTCGAATCCATAAAAAGAAAGGGACTGCACCTTCAAAGTGACTGAAAAGATCAAGTGCCTGGTACATTTTTTTTTATTTAGTATTGTTAATTAAAATCTTATCATTGAACCTAATCTATAGAGTGGATAAAAATGGTACTGGTTATCAATATCAACCGTTGAGCAAAGATTTTCGAGGGTTTTTAACTTTATACCTTCTTATTTCATTCTTTAAAAATTATAGTTGTTTAGAAAAAAAAAAAAAAAACTTAAAATCCTATCATTAGTCATAAGTGACGCCTAAAATTATTTACATTAATAGTTGCAAATTTAGGATTTAATTTTTAATTATTACATAAAAACTAATCCTTTGATGGAAGAAAATAAGTTAAATTTTTAATTTGGTCCCTAAATTATTATATGAACTTTTAATTTGGTCCTTAAACTAAAAAATCTCTGATTTGATCTCTAAACTATTGTAAGGACCCTCGATTTGGTTTTTATTGTTTACTAATTTATCCCAAATTAATTTTTCTATACAAAAACTAATCGACGTGTCTTATTGTTAACTTGACATAAGACCGTTAAGTTACTATTTTTTGCTATTATTTTTTATTGTTAGGTAATGAATACGTCAATTGATTTTTGTGTGGAAGAATTAGTTTAGAGTAAATTGATAAATAATATGGATTAAATTAAGATTCATATAAAAATTTTAGAAACCAAATTAAAATTTTTTTTTAATTTAAAAACCAAATCGATAATTCATATAATAGTTTAAAAAACAAATAGGAGGTTTAACCAAGAAAATATTTATCTCCTATGAATAGGTTTCCTGTCACCCAGCATCACAGTTGGAAGATTGCAGGCAAATTCATGACTGTCAGATGAACAAAGCAGGAGCTAATCTGCAGAAGTCCACATCCCATGCCCCACAAAATGCTCACCTTTCATTGTCAAAATCTACGGTGGGCATCTTATGTTTACGGCCTAAGATTTTGTCCCATTGCTCTGTAGAAATATTGTGGATACTCCAAACCCTCTTGGGTTGTACAAAATTCACCGTCAGATTTTGCGCCATTGTGTTGTAGAAATGTTTTATATAAATCCAGACCCTCTCGGGTTGTATGAAATTCACCATCAGATACACAGCAATCCCTTACATAAAAGCAATCCCTCTAGCTAAGTGTCTTAATTTTAATTTTATGGTTTAAACAGTAAATATTAAAATAAATTTATTATTTTATAATATAAATTATAATAAATTATAAAATATAAAGAGATTTATCATTTGTTCATTTAAAGGTTTATGTTTCATATTGAAATAATAAAAATATACCTTTTAACTAAATTATACAATGGATATAAAATTTAGACTTTAAATTTAACTAAATATTATTAATATAACCATTTCACAACTTTAACTTGTAAAAGGTAACTTAATAATTTTAATTTTTAATTTAATGATTTAGATAATTTAATAATAATTTTTAATTAAAAATTAAATATTTTAAA